GAGACCGTGCGAGCGCTCTACGTTAACCGTGCCAACGGCCCTTGACGACCGTACAATCGCACACACCAACGAGCGATTGTAAGGTCGTCGCTGGCCGCCCGCACGGCGCGAGTCCCTGAGATAAGACAAAAGTTGACTCAAAAAATACTTCAAGAGAAAAGAAACATAGATGTTATGGTAAGTTTTATAGAAAGCAAAACAAAGCATACATGAGAAATGTACGATTACAACAAATACAAAACAATTCAAATACATAAAAACATGAACAAACACTCGATAAAAATTGGTTAGACAATTGACAAATGTACTCAATTTATACATTAGTCTTGGATCACTTGATCGTTATTGACGGCAAGTCGAAGTGTACTGCTACCGCAAGAATGTATGGTCCGTCTTCCGGAATTTTGCGCGCCAACCGCACCTTTCATCATATCTTCGCGTTATCTCGCAGCTCATCAGCGAATGTATCCATTCCACCCATCGTTGACACCAGACCGCTGTCACCTGCTTAATCGTCATATCCGCCGATATCCAGGGCCATATCAGCCCCGCCCCTGGATTGACCGAAAGAACGAACGCGAACTGAACGAACGTACGTAACGACGACCTTCACCCGAACGACAACGAACGTTTCGCTGCTCAGGCGGCGGGCGCAGACCGCCGTCAGCGCTACTCATCGTATATTATCACCATGTGCACTATAGTCGCATTAATTAGTGGATGTAATTGCAGACTACTTACTTTACTTAGGACTTTTATGACTTTTGTTCGCTTCCTCGTTCCACCCAAATTTACTTTGCGTTTTTTTTTGCCCACTTAAATTAACGACGTAATGCTCGAACTTACGATTCGAACTGGTCCTAATTGTTCCATTTAGCGGTCTTTTCACGCTGACGTAATGCGTGCTACACTCCAGAAACGTAGAAAACGTCAAACGTACTTTTATTTAAATCTTCACTTGATTTTGGCAGTAAGAGATACCCCACTTTTTCTTTTAGAATCGCAATCATTCACTTCAACTATGCACTTTTTGCTTTTTAATGCCTTTGGAGGCTTTTCATATTTTTCTTCGTTTGCCAGTAACGAAGTCAAGTTCAAATGTGACAGATCCTGTAGCGGTTAAAGTTTCAAGAGAAATCATTCTAGTATAAACAAATATGGAAATAATGCAATTTACTATTTTTTTAAAAAGTTGTCAAATTTGGATGCTTTTTTTGCTATAATTCCATTTTATTTTATGTTAGTTTGGTAGTGTCAAAAGTGAAAACATTTTTTTGAATGATGGTTTTATCTGAGTTTTTTTAAAATCCTGATGACCTGTTGACTATTGCCTAAACATTTTGACTGATCGATGGCGCAACTTCTACGCGACAAATAAATAAATAAAGTAATTGAATGTGTTCTATATGTGTAAAATGTTGCGAACAACATCTTCCCATAGTAGCTGAAAAATCTTTGTTGAATCCTCCTGAATTTTGATGATTTACATTTTGTTCATTTCGCTTAATATTTATTTTTCTTGAGCGATGCCTCAACTGCTCATTCAAATTGTATTGCCATTTTTTTGCTGTTCATGTGGAAAAAGCTCCTTTTATTTTGGGTCAAAATAAAAATCATGATCCACTAATTGTGTGGTTGCAAAACTTTTATCATTATTCCAATGTTGTTGTTGCGAAATAAACAACATTAGCTTACGTGAACTCATCTCTCATTCTCATTTTTCTTACAACATATCCAACTTTTTTATGACAGCTCTCGCTTTAATTGCCTATTTATTGAAACATGCGTTACTTATACTGTGGATGAATTTTTTTTTGAATTGAAGTGGCTTCAAGGTTAAATTTTTACACAACAAAAATTACCAAACTTTGCACCAACTTGACACTTTACAATCACCTAAATGCGCATTATCTTGAGTGTGTTTGCTCCATGTTAGAGAAATCGTTTTTTTAGTTGCGAAAACTGGTCCTCTAAGAACCTGCTTGAAGCTGCTGGCCAAAGTTTTCTTGCGGTTAGCTGTTTGGAACGTGGTACATAGCGTGTGAGTAAAAAAGTGCAAAAACGCCAAACCTCTTATCCCAACAAGAGATTTCCAGTAACTAGACTGAATCCTGATCGTTTAGCATAGCTAAAAATAGGATTTCCTCAAAGTGAAAAATGCAGAGAATCCAGATTTTCGGACCTTGGAATGAAGTGAATTTTACCTAACCTTTTTGGTGAAATTGATGCCATTTACCAATACTTAAGCAATGTGTAGCTTTCCTCTCGAATGCTTTTTCTTCATGCTTCCAAAAACCCTGACTGAAGTTGTTTGTTCTCACTCACGTTCAAATATACTTATACATTGATCTCACCACGTCGAAGGTCTTTTTCCCCAATGCCGTCAAGAGGGGTTGGATATTTTTGAGTAAACGTTCAAAAATGTGAGAATGTACACGGCTTTTTGCGTTAAAATCAACATTTGAAGGACATCTCAAGAATTTTCGCAGATTTCACGGTTTATTGAAAAATTTGCGCCTCGATAGTTGTACACAATGCTCTTTGTGAAGTGAAATCAAAATGGACTTTTATGAAATAATTTTGATTTTGGTGGGAATTTTTCTTGTTGTTATATCATACTTGTTCCCCTGCCATCTTACATGCATAGTTAAACCTACAGCAAGTTCCAAAATTCCAAAGTGGTTCTGCTTCTTCTATTTCTTTTTCTCCTCCTCTTCATCCTTTTCGTTTTTCGACTCCAATAGAAAAATTACACAATTTGTTGGCTTTAACTAATTTTTACCAACCGCTTTACGCAAGACTGCTTGGGAACAAGTGTCAATGACCAAGGGATCGGCATTACAGAATTTATCGAAACTTTGCATGGTGGAATTATTTGACCTTTAAAACACGAATATCATATATGTGTTTTTCAACGACTCTTTTCTTGCTCGAGGTTAGACTCCATACCCATAAATCTTCAATAAACTTATAAAAAAGCCCCTACCAGGCAAATTAGTATCATTTTCGTAGTCGGCATGTCAACCCCTTCCACCCCCCTCCCCTCCGCCGAGTTTCAGCTAGTTTTGTAGTAATTTATAATTCTCTTCTTTTACACCATATACCTACCGTAACCCCCACTGCGACAAAAATTGTAGCTGCCCTTGTAGTTTATGTCATAGCCTACATAATGTCAAATTTGATTGCGTCATATACCAACAAAAAAGTTGTAAAAGTATGATAACTTGGTTAACAACTCAATAGGTGGGACTGAATTGATTCGAATCTTCACTTATTTGAGCTAAATACAACAGTGCTTTGAATATTTCACTCGAAGAGACGAGGAAGAGGGAACATCGTGCAATTATGTGCAATTTATGCCAGATTTTACACTTAATTGATCTCGTGGTCATTATGTTGGCTCTTGGTCCACTTTTCTAATGTTTTTAGCCCAAAACTTTGATTGTGACCTCTGGCATCTACTTCATATCATTTCGATGTCTATATTATCATTCTTCCCATTGAGACTTCTGTAAAAGTTGAATTTGAAAAATTGGTTGTCGTGAGTTTCAGTGAAAAAATTTCAGCAATTGTTCTTCCTGCAATAAGCTTTACAAAGTTGACTCTTTTTGTAAGACGTCTTCAGCTTACCTGTCGAAGTACTTCTTTTCTTCTTTCTCATTCATGTTTCATGCTAATAATTTGGGACTTAAGTGCTGCCTTTTTCCTTGTTTGTAAACATCTTTGACATAATGTTCATGGTGAAAAACATCATCAAAAAGTATATTAGTGTAAAGTCGTTAGAAACTTTTGCACTTTTCTTTAGCACGCGCCTTACTTGATCCACTTGATCCACTTGAGTCACTTCGCTATCGGTCAGTTTGCTGATTTGACCAATAGCAAAATGGATTAAGTGGATCAAGCGGATTGATTATAGTATGGCTCTTGCCTTAAAGTCAAAAGAGATTGCTCTTTCTCAATAACATGAGTAAGATTATTTAGACAATATCCTTTCACTTTACAAAAATAATAGAAGCTGCATAAATATTATGAACTCGTCAGCTCGTAATCTGAGTATTTCCAGGACTAAAGCTTGCAAGTTATTTGAGAAGCATCAAAAAATTTTCGGATTTAACGAAAAAATTTTCTACGTTTCACCTCAGGCACCCTTATTCAATGAAATGGATTTTTCTTTCAAGCTGAGTTTCATTTGTTTACTCATCCACCATATGGTAGCTTATGCATGGTTTCCTTCGAATGTGTGGTATCAGGCACTAGTTGGAAGCGCAAGATTTTTTGAAAATTGTAGCAAATATTTTCCTGCAATTATGTTCCATGTTAGGCCTCGGACAGAGTTCACGCGATTTGATCGTCGCGATTCAATCGCTACAAGACAACTGTTACGAGTTCATTGCATGACGATCAGCTTGCATTTCGGCTTGATACTTTTTCAGCTCTGAATTTTTGAATTATAAAATGAAAATGAATGGAAATCGAGGTGATTAAATCGCGACGATCCAATCGCGTGAACTCTGTCCGAGGCCTTAGATCTCTTCCAAATAAACGAGCTTCTATGGATTTATAAATCCCCAGTTTTCTATCCTTTGCGCAGGATAGATCTTGGAAATAACAGAACTTTCTAAGAAATAACTTATCTGTTTCTCTTCTTGGATAGCCTTTAGGAACAGGATCTTTTCAACCTTTTTTGGAACATTAGCAAACTAGCGGTAGCAGAACACCGCAGTTACCTAAAAAGCTAGCAATATCGGTACGTTAATGGCTATAGGATAAAAGCAACGTAGCTTGCTCTTTCGTCATCCTCATCTTGAACTGGTTGCTATCATGCTAGTAGGCTAACGAGCTATAAACTAGACTAGATAGGTCGCATCCGAATCGACCCATTATCATGGTGTCTGCATAAGTTTAGCCTCTTAACGCTTGTTTTTTCGACGATCGTTATCTTTATAATCATATCTCAAGATACTTGTACACATTGCTTACCAGCTCTTATATCTTCAGGTATGTCGACCGGCTTGCCGGGCGGTCCTGCAACGCCAACCGATGCAGGAATATCTAGCCCTGCGGGGATACGTATTCAGAGACGTTCACATTCCATGGAGCAACCGGTATGATTTCTTCCTTTTTTTCTGTAGGGGGGGGGGGTAATTTTCTTGTTTATGACGAATTACTCGCTGAGTCCATCAAAGGGGCTAGTCAAGGCTGTCGGCGGTGTTAATCACTATATCGATTCACCCATAATTCCCGAAAACCTACCGGGTTTTGCCGCACACCCCCAAAACCGCTCCAAATTTTTCAGCTCCGGGTAATTCTTTTCTTACAGTGCTCAAGATAAATGTGAGAAAATCCTAGTCACCCTGACCCATTCCTGTTTTCCAACTCCCATCAAAGGCTTACTAATCCGATATGATCCAAAGTGTCCGAGTTAGGCGGCTATGTAGTTCGATTTTGACCCCATAAATGAATAGTGCTCACTTATCTTGGGAACTTCATGTTTGAGTGACATCGGTTCGAGTCCAAATAGTATCATATAGTTCCTCAAAATCTCCTTCTCCTCTTCATTATGTTCCTTTATATTATAGTTGTCTGGACTTCGCAGTATTTCGACTTCTTAAATTGATAAAACTCCAAATCATTTGAAAACTCCAAATTCCAGTTCTTTGGCATTCTTCATCATTTTGCTGTTTTGAAATTTGGAATAATGTAAGTCTGAGACACAATTAGCACTGGGACAATCAAAATCGTATTATCTCCAACCTGAAGAAAAGAACAGTATTGCTAGTGTTCACTCTGTCTTTCAGGCTGTACAAGAAACTATGAAAATTAAAAGGGTAATATTTATGGGAGACGGGTGTAAATTGTGCGTTAGAATGTCATAAACACGGACGCTTTTCAATTTTTGGTGTAGTCTTTCGCTTTAATTGTACTTCTTGGGGACTACTGACGAGGGGCATCGGGGGAAGCTGCAATTACAATCCTGTACAGTCCTTAACCCCGAAACCGGATAGTTTCAAAAACTCGGTAAAATTCGAAGACTCTTTCAGATACTTAAACATTTTGTTATGGCTGCTTCCTTGAAGATTATTTAATTTCTATACCAAATTTTTTTGTTTCTAATTTTGTCATATTGTCAAAGTTGGTTCGGAAGATTTTCTTATTACTTGTGGTAGTACAATGATTATGGTGTGGATCATGACATTGCTCATTGTATGCTCGCTTTCGAAATTTCTCTTCATAGCTCTACTAACTGAAAAATTTTTTTGCATGCGCTTAGTTCTTCGTGAGACAAGACTACAGCATGAAGAAGGGAAAATGAGCATCTTCCTATAAATTCAAGATTTCAAATTAATATCAAGTTGGCTAATAAATAAGTTGATCGCTTTTGCGGCTCTTACAAATGCTGCAGACAAATTTTTGCCCAGTCTTTGATATCTCCGGAAAAAGCACTTCAATGGGAATTAGAGTAAAAATTTTGTTGGAATAGAATTTATCTTGCAAGGGAAAAATCCGCAAAGAAGTGAGAAACCCGAATTTTGTCATAATGCGCAGATATGAGGATGTGAGAAAAGATTTTTAGAGTGAGATCACAATTTTCATTGTTGGTCACCAAATATTGAAAATTCCTCTGTATCAAATACCAAACTGCTGTTCTCTATGTAGATCCATTACAGCATGAAAACGAAGCATAGGAAGTCAAAGAATTGAACCTTTGGAAATTCAGCCATTTTGAGGCGTAACTGTCTTTACTGATGACAGAAAGTCTTGGATATTTGATATGTAGTACAGGAAGCTTTGAACTACTTTCGCAAAGAATCATGAATAGAAAACAACAAGAAAATTTTTCAAATGAAGATTTACATGCCAAAACGAACTTATTTTCTAGCCACCCTAATAATCTAAGGCGGCTTTCTCAGGTTTGAGTTTTGTCAAATGAGGACTGTTTGCTCATCTAAAGGACGAATAGACGGAACCCTTTATAGTTTTTTCATTGACATTGGAATTTCGTGATGTCTGTGACACAAGTTTTTGCTTCAGACTCCCCAAAAACGTCATTGGAATTTACATTAGTCTTGGGAAAGACTGGTAAGTTACTATTCTTCTCTCAAGCGTTATTTTAATTTTTCATTTCATCAAACTTCAGTTTTTGAGGCATAATGTCATGCATTTGCTGAATTGAAAGCCTTTTTTCTGTTGTCTTCCAACATATATACAGTATTCCTTACTTTACAAAAACAATCACATCCACAATTGCTCCCTCAAGTTTTACCCGTCAAGCGCTGCGTTCCCAGGGTTTCGCTCGAGTGTAGGTGAAATCTAGAGCATCGCAATGTTCTCCCTTCTATAGTCCGTTCGTTAAAAAGTTCACGAATTTGTAATAGGATCGCTTGCGGGGAGGGGTGCACAGACAGACATCAACATCTATCCACAACGCATTTTTTATTCGCTCAAATCGAAACTTCCGTAAGCGCGCCGCGCGCACCAAAGGCAGCCGCCGCGCACGCGACAACCGTGCGATTGCGGTCATTGCGCCATTCACTCCACTTCTTTGGCGATTTGACTTTTTTCTATATCCCCGTAATAAGTTCATCGGCGTACTTGATAAGTGATCTCGTTTTTTTTCTCATTTGGAGATTTCATTGAGTTTTGCGCGGGTTTACTAGTGAACTAAAGACTGCCCGTGAGAACTTCCGAGAAACTGCGCATTCGAACTGGGTATTTGGGACATCTTGGCAATTATTACTAGAAAAAAATTGATCATTAAAGTTGATGATCTTTATGACGAATCTGCAAAGCGATTGCAGTTCTTCCATTTCTGATTCTTAGGATGTACCTAAGGCATTCATTCTGTGCAATTACATATACAGTCTTCCTCTTCAGCAGTCGCTTTGTGCAATTGCACACTTTCCAGATCATCCGCCAGGCCATACTTTCTTCCATTCCACGTATTTTTCCTTTGCCTTATTCAGTTTCCTTTTGTATGATTAACACTTGATGCACAAATCGGTTTATCTTTTTTTCTTTCAAAAGTTGTGCAGTTACACAAAGCGACTGCTGAAATTAAGTTGAATGTACGTCAGACAGATTACAAAGTCAGACATTTTCAAAATCTGATCTTTACAGGCGAGCTTTTGCAAAAAAAACTAAATAAATATAGAAAAGAAGTGAGATTTAAGTATATTTTCAGAATTCTTTGTAGTCTTTTCCTATAAAGTAGTTGAAAATCGAGATGATCGAGTTCTGATGTTCAACTTCGATTTACCATATATACTTCATTTACAAGATGAGATGATGCCCATTTTGGACAAGCTGTCCAATCATGCACAGCAAAAAAAATTTTCATTAAAAATTTTACTAATCACCAACAAGCTACGTAAAATCTCGAAATTTGCAACGACTCCGTTCCTATTCTAGCAGAAATCTGTGAACAGGGCATTGAAGGGCATTGATCACTTGATTTACGATCCAAAATCTTTCCCAGATCCCATGATGTAAAATTCCTTGATTTTCCAAAGTAGGTTACACCCTTGTACTTAAGTTGCTAATGATGATCTGATTTCGGGCAATCAAGTTCGCACGAATAAGATGTTCATTCACACCTTCTTTTTCCAGTTTTTTTTCGCGGTGTCAGCAGCTTTAAAATCTTAGCGTTTTATAATTTTTCATGTTCATTTGTAAGTAATCATTAATTAAGGATATAAATAGAATAATACTATTACGCCTACGTTTTTATGATTCTGAGCTAGTTCGTATGTTTTGCTAGCTTTGCATATTTGGCACCCTTTGAAGAAGTAGAATAAATAGATAAATAAACAAATAAACACGCGAATCATTCTGATTCGGATTTATACCAATAGGTTTTCTTCATCTTTGAAGTATTAGACATTGTTTGAGATGTTGCACTTCCAATTTTTTGAAATTCCTTCAAGAAGCTTTTGAATATGGCATTTTTGACCTCAGCTTATTGTATTTAGCCTTAAAAATCATTTTAAACATAATTTACATGCCCTTATTAGAAGATATTGAGTTTTACGAAACGAAAAGATCATTGAATTTTCAGCGTGTGATATGTTGACTAGAATTTTGCTAGAAGCTTCCCTATAGAGTATATTCATAATAGAACAAAAATCACAATTTGTAAAATTATTTTCATTTGTAAACAGTGGAAAAATTCTTCTTACCCACTCCGGTACTTAAAGTGACCGTGATTTTTTTCAATTGAATTTTCCCTTACGGTTTCTTTTTGTCGAAATGACACAACTTTCCACTTTTTCTTGAAGAATAGTCATTGTGTTCGCCAGTACTAGATGCACCGTGCGCACGTTTCGTTGTTAAGCGCATTGTTGATCGCGGTGATAAGAGATGGAAAACGAGGTCAAGATCACTATATCAGCTGCGTCTACACACTCGTTGTGTATCATACACTCTCCCACGTCCAGAAATCCCGATCCAAGTTGCCAGAATTCTTGGCCTATTTACGCGCGTGTGCGTGGCGTCAGCGGACGTTGTGTAACTTCGCATGGATCACGTACGGACACTTGCAGACGTTGATAGGACAGCATCGTGAATTATGAGTTGAAGTCAAGGAGAAAATTGTTGCAAAGTGGGAAGGGAGGGGGTGAGGGGGGGGGGGGTAGTCGTGAATTTTGAGTTATTCCAATGATGGTCTCATCAAAATCACGCAATCATCACACTCAGATTACGGTAAGCTTACTGTGGGAAGAACTGGTGCGTGCGTTCTCAAAATGACCGAATATTATAATATTATCTACCAACTAAACAGTGATGCTCTACTTCTACTATTTGGATCAATATAAGCTAAATTTAACCTTGCGTCTTAAAACACCAAGATGCCGGATTACAGTAAGTTTACGATAGAAGGGTATGGCGCACTTTTCAAACATCGAACATACTTTCAATATAACAAACAAACATGTTATTCACTCATTCACGAAATACTACGAAGAAGCCTTAGCCATGATTTGCATGCCATTGCATGCCCGGTACGGTGAGCTTAGGGTAGGCGGTAGAATGTGGATCGAACATTTTTCAGAAGGGTACACTTAAGTGATCAACCTTATGACAAAGGCTGATATGTCTATTTTGTATGTCTTGCAGCGAACTTAATACTAGAAAGCAAGCTTTGGTAGATCATCAGTTTTCTAGGAAGAGAGTACAGTAGGATTACAGTAATCCACCGTACTTACAAAATGCCCTCATACTTGAGGCTAGCGCTTGTTCGACAAACTTGAGCGATCCTGGGCAAGCGAGATATCTATGCTACCGTAATCTCAACTAATCTATTAGGTGGGTGCAAAAATTCGTTCGCCAGATTTTCAAAAAATCATAACTTCCTTCTTTCTCTGTGAAATTTCTCAATTTGATCTTTATTCGAAAGAAGAAGCCTCCCTCTTTACACTTTGCCTTTTCCATGAATTGGTATAAAAAAGTTCGGGAGATATAGGCAATTGCAGGGAGTTAGTCAAGATCGACATTTTTCAAGCTGGATCACGAAAAATTCTGGAAGTATTTTTCTTTGGTAGAGAAAATTTTGCACATTACAGTGGTACCTTATCCATGAATTAAAACGAAATAGATCGAAAGTTAGAAGCAAATAAAGAGGATTTCTTTACTTTTGCAATTTTTGAGCATGCTCAAAAAAACTTGAAAACGTCACAGAGAAGGCGAAAAAGACACAAGCATGGGTGTTGTGATCTTCCCTTTCTAGATGAACGAAAATCGTGCCAATCGGGAGCAATTTTCATTTTCGTGATTTATTCGGATTTTCGGGTCTGCGTTTTTCACGAAAATGAAAATTGCTCCCGATTGGCACGATTTTCACTCAGATAGAAAGGGAAGATCACAAAACCCATGTTTGTGTCTTTTTCGCCTTCTCTGTGACGTTTTCAAGTTTTTTTGAGCATGCTCAAAAATTGCAAAAGTGAAGAAATCCTCTTTATTTGCTTCTAACTCTCGATCTATTTCGTTTTAATTCATGGATAAGGTACCACTGTAATGTGCAAAATTTTCTCTACCAAAGAAAAATACTTCCAGAATTTCTCGTGATCCAGCTTGAAAAATGTCGATCTTGACTAACTCCCTGCAATTGCCTATATCTCTCGAATTTTTTTAAACCAATTCATGGCAAAGGCACCTTTGTAAAGAGGGAGGCTTCTTCTTTCGAATAAAGATCAAGTCGAGAAATTTTACAGAGAAGGAAGGAAGTTATGATTTTTTGAAAATCTGGCGAACGAACTTTTGCACCCACCTAATATTTAATGACAGTGTCGTCCTATTTAAAGGCTTTCTATAAAAAAATTTGGCTGGCCGTCGCACTTCTTATCGTAAGCCTACCGTACCACTGCTTAAAGGAGTAGCTCGCAAAATTGTTATTGCGCGCTTTCTGTTCCTTCTTGGCCTTCTGTGGCCGTATTCATCAACGAAAACCCAGTGGGTTCCGGAACCCAGTTTAGTGCTTTTGATGAATATCGATGTAGAATCGATATTCATCAAAACCACTAAATGGGTTTCGGAACCCACTGGGTTGTTCGTTGATGAATACGGCCACTGGATGCGCTTAGACCTGAGCCGTTCTTGAAAAATCAAAAAAGTGCTTTTTATGGCGTCTTCTGGCCTTGTATTGTTGAGGAGGTGGCGGAGAGAATCCCGCCAAAAACAGTGAGCTGCAGGAGACTGTAACATTACTCACTTTGGCGGCAATTGGCTGATTGGCCCAGGCAGCCAATCGCGATTCGGTTGCGGGAATCTCCGCTCCAGCCTCCTCAGCAATCTCCAAGGCCGGAGAATGCCATAAAAAGCACTTTTTTGACTTTCCAAGCACACCTCTGGTCTAAACGCATCTAGAAGGCCAAGAAGGAAGTGAAAGCGCGCAGTCGCAATTTCCCCGAGCCACTGCCTTCAATGAATTCAGTGGCCGTATTCATCAACGAACAACCCAGTGGGTTCCAAAACCCATTTAGTGGTTTTGATGAATATCGATTCTACATCGATATTCATCAAAAGCACTAAACTGGGTTCCGGAACCCACTGGGTTTTCGTTTATGAATACGGCCACAGGATGGTACCCTATATATTCAGGACTATTGACGTAGTGTAGAATTACAGCGAGAATCCTCCATAGTAAACTAGCATACTCCAATTCTTTTATATTTCCAGTTAGGACCTCCACCATCAGTGCCGAACGAGCCGTCCTCTCAACACAACACACTAACTCGTCCGGCGGGCACACTGAGTACACTTAAAAGAGAACGAGCAAAGGAACGAGAACGGCTACAGAAGGAGTTGAATATTCTGGGAGACGTGGAGCGAAAAGAAGAAACGCAATCAAAAAATAAAGAAGAATCAGATTATAAGCCTACCTCGCCATCTTCACCTATACCACATTCACCATTGAAAGAAAAGACTAGCTACGTTGAGGTAGGATTTTGTTGATTCCAAAATCCTTTGAATCATCTAAGTCTTTTTCAAGGATTGCTAGATACTTTACTGAAACAAAAGTAATTCTTGACCGACTTGAAGAAGTTCACTTAAACATTTGGCTCATAATAATTTTACTCCAGTCTCTGTAAAACAGTCAAACCAAGAGAAACTCAGAAAATTCGAAATTTCTAGGAACCCGAATCCAACACTACCACATTGGAACGCAAAGAACGTAAAATGGAAAAAGAGCAAGCGTTGGTGCGACGGATCACCAACGATATGCAAATAGCACATTATGTTAGACAGATGGAAATGGCTAGAAGTCATGGAAAGCGACATCGAGGAGGTAGGCGTGTCTGGCCCAAAACCTTTCCTGAAAAAAATCCTTGTTTTAGCATTTTCAACCGGTGTTTTTCGCATTAGATCATTGAGATTTTTCGAAGCTGGACTTCGCCGTGCTCTATGGTATCTTGGCAAGGCTATAGCTAATCACAAGCTGCTTTTCGTGGTAAGGTTACCGTAGCAATATCGTATCTTCCGTCATCCTCTACATTCCAGGTGCTCCCTTTGATAATTGTCGCATCGTCGCTGATTGGTCCAATTCTTCACCGTAATAAAATGACCGTATCGCTGCCATTTGCACTGCTTGGCGCTGACGGAAATGACGTCATCTCGAACGGCTACAGTATCCAAAGGACACAACGTGGTTTCAACTACAGTAATCCTGCATTCAGTGCGTTGGATTTTATGGATCCGTCTGAATTTGCGGTACTGCTGAGGACAACGTAAGGTTTTCTCTTTTTTGTATTTTGCCTGTGTCAAGGCCATATTTCGTTCATTTCTACCGTACATGGGTTCTTTTGAAGTCTAAAAAGAGGGCGAATGGGGAAAGGGGGGGGGGTATTCTTTAAAAAAATCGAATATCATTTCTTGTAACATCTCTATAAACTCCCTAGCAAACGTCTTTATAAATCTGACTTGATGGAAAGAAAACCACAATAAAATTTTGGTTAATTGAATAATCAAATGAAGAAAAAATAACGAGTGAGGAAATAATTGAAGGAATGGATGACTAAATGAGTAAATGATCAAACATATGATGGACTAAAATGCAGAAATAGTTTTTCCTTATGATAACGCAATTTTTATGCAGGTCACAAATGGAGGAATTTTTTTCAGGTTAGCCAGGGACACAATTTTACGCAAAGATGCGGTTTTAGCCTATTCTGCTTTGAAAAAACGACTGGATAACTATCCAGTTGGAAACAAAGAGGTGAACCTTCTTCGCTACGTCTTACAACTTCACAAAATTTTGTGAACTACGATGATCTGGATTTTTCTAGCTTTTGGAAGTGTGTTCACCCGACTGTGAGCTGGAAAAAGAGATGGTCGACAAGATTATCAAGAAAAGTCCGCAGGTGGGTAATTTCTATGGTTTAACCCCATTCCATATATTGAAGTTACCATCGCTTAAATCATGCAATAGTTTTTCGAATTTTTTCATATATGGCTTTTTTTCAATCATCAAATATTCACATTCCTTGCCTAATCAAGTTATGACTTAGGTTGCCCTCACTTATCCAGAAACTTTCGTCAGTATGAGCAAAGACTCCACCAATCTTAGTCGCGTTTATTTGGGATCAGCCATTGGAGGTACTCTTATGAAACTGTATCCCCAATCGATGAATCGATTTTTGACCATTCATGCGTAGTGTAATTCTATCTATTGCAGGCGTTGAAACCGATTCGGATGGTGCAATTTCACGTGCTCAAGCTCTACTTCTTTCATTCCAGCTAAGGGAAGGCCTTACGGATGAGCAGGTTGCCTCGTGGGCAGATAATCTTGAGGAGCAGGTCAGTTTTACTTGATCAGAGCATATTATTCTACTACTGCTGTTTAGGTCCACGTCACATCTGCCAATAACGTTTCGCTCTCTTACTGGTCTCCATCTTCGTTCTCGTCATGGGTCATACAAGCATTGTCAAAAAGCTATAGATGGATTCTCGTCTCAGCATCTGTTCTGAGTCTCTTCTGCTTCTTAGCATCGTTTGGTGCGAACGCCTATCAGGTGAGAATTTTCTCAGAGAAATTTCAAAGAACATTTTCTCGAAGGAAACCGAGAGAATCTTTACTCGCAAGAGCCATTAATCACAACGTGTTCTATCACAATATTTTCGCAACATTCATTTCAACGAAACAGTTCTTTTGTAGAGCAGTTCTCTCCTTTTTTTTCCTGGAGACCGTAGCAAAGCCGTAGCGTGGTTGATCGTCGGGGAAAAATCAGTTTTTAGTTTACTTTTCACTTGTCCGCTAAACCGAGTTTCGAGTTGAAGACAATAACTTCAGATCAATGGACCTTAAAAGAACTTATCTTCAAGGGTGGACCTCTAGCAGTAATGTTTGATAAAACTTGAAATAAGGAGAAAAGTACCCGGTTGGTGCAAAAATAATGACCTTTTTCCAAGCCTTTTCAGAATAACTTTTTCTTATCGAACTTTCTTCTTTGAAACAGATATTGTTTATCACTGGTAAGCCCTTTTCATGCTTCATCTAAAGATCGTCAAAGCAGGCTTACAGCCTCATTTATTAGAAAGTAACAGAGCTTCGAATAACCTCATCCAAAATCAGAATTTCGTTGCATTCACTTTTCTGGCCAGAATTCGAGCGTGAACGAAAACATTTCTTCAAATTCAGTTATTGTATTTAAAACTTGTCTACATTATGCACACTTAGCTATTTTTTTCTGAAATTATTTTGACTGAGATATCGGCCCTCATTATTGGTAGCCGCTGCGGTCATTTTGTTTCTCATAAATTTCATTTACAAAAAGCAGAAAATTCTATAACTTGGGGCTTTGAGGCCTACAAAAAAGTTGAAAAAACTGACAACTTTGGATTTCAATTTTTCCATTTTGTCTCTTCTTTACCCAAGCATTTCCATCTTCTTTTGTCCTAATGACCCGCAGTTAGATAGGCAACTGTTCCTTTATATTGAAAAGCTTTGAAGGTAGTTATGATTTGTCAAAAACAAGGATTTAGAATAAAAATTTTTTTGTTTTTCACTCCATGTTTTTCTGTCCGATTGTGATGTAAGTAAATTGCAAAAGCTTTGCTTCCTCTGAGGGTTTTTATGGCATTCAAAAGTATAGACTTTTCAGAGAGTTAGGGCACGTCAAAGTGAAACCTTTAAAGCCATTATTTTGCATCATCCTAATACAACTTTCAGTATCATGATGACTACCCTCATATTGTATGATTTGCAACAATTTACATCAACATTTTGGTTTTTTGCAAATAACTTTGCAAATCATAATCACTTCCAAATCATATTGTCGTTTTCCTAAGATTTTGCAGTTGCTTGTTGTATTGCTGGTAAAATTTATAACATACCGACAGCAAATTTCACTAGCCGTATCGCTTCCGCTGTTTGTTCAGCTGTTCGAAAAATACTCAAAACCCGCTTACAAATTAGCAATCGATTTTTTTTAGACTGGTTATTTTGTTATAGATCCGTGTTATATCACTTAGTTTGAGCTTTAGATCATTAGTTCACTAAAAAAATCTTCTCATTAGGTAACTATCTATTCGATTAGGCTACATTAGCCTTGCACCAAAAATTTGAAAAAGAAAACAATTTTAGAATTGCTTTTGGGGAAATATACTTAATTGGCGATGCGATCAACAATTTCTATTCAGGCGTTACTATGCGCATGATCTTTTTTCCTAAATTTGTGAAAAAAAAATGTGGAATTGGGGGAGAATAAGGCTTTGCTGAAATTTTGCTGCAACTAATGAACCATCCTAATAGAGTTACCCGAACAAAATCTACCTCAATGTATCTTCTAATTTCTTAGAATTTTATGTGATAATGATCAGACATTTCTACTTTCTTTTCAGTCGAAACCACTTGTCGGCATACAAATCGCTTTCACATTGATTGTCTCCTGTGCTGGTGGCCTATTTGTACAAGTTGCTGGTTCGGGCGCATTCAACCCACTCATCTGGCCGGTATTTTTCGTTGTGGCAGGTAAGAGAGTACAGAAATCAAATGAAAATGGAACTGAATCAAGAAAACATTTTTTGAAATAATATAAATTGACGGGTTTTGGTTTTGTTCCAATTCGATATGGATTATGGCTCCAGAATTTGTGGATGGGGTACTATCTTCAAAAAGCACGTGAAGCCTCTCTTCAAATTTTTTGCATTCTACGACTTTGATTTTTGATGAAACTTAAAAAATTTGGTATTCACAAAAGAACATATTTGCGTGATTTGATGAGTCATGTAGACCACGCAAAACGTAATTGTTTTGATGAAAGGTCTAAGCAATTCTAGTTGGTCCAAAATTGTTAGATCTGACCCCCCTCCCCCGACACGTCCGTCTTAAAGTTTGAGATATTTTTCTGACTCATATCAGTATGCAAATATTCAACTCAACACAACATTCAACACAACATATGCAAATGTTCCTAGCCAAAAATATTGATTACCTATCGATCATGGAAGAATCGTTTCTCTTTCACTCTTCCTGGTTCAAAAGCCGTTTGCGAAACACAGTAAGCGAATGCATTCAACTACTGACAATAAAGGCTACACGTTAAACCGAATTATGGCGCAGATTCTCATTTTTGCCACTTTGTTCGTATCTTATGATAGCATAATTATGAATTTTTGGAATGTCTTCTTCGTGCTGGTTCAGAATAGTCTCGAAAATTTATTGAGGACCGCACCTTGAGGCCAAAATGATGGCGGAATGCATTGTCTAGAGGGCTGTCAAAATTTATTTGTTGACATAGATGGGGCCGGTCTACTCGAACTTGCGGTCTTCTTCCTCTGTTCCCTCCCTCTTGCTCACTTGTTCATCTTCTAAGAGATTCTTTGATAGATTATTATGTGCAATTGAAAAGTTCCGCTTGAGTACCGTTCGTAGTAGTTCTATGACGATGCGGTGAAAATGTCAAATTTTCTGGAAATTGTTCGGGTAATGTGGGGATGGGGATGACAAAGTTTGAATGGTAACGAAAAAGTTATTACTTGAACCATGATGCTGTGATCATGATGTAATTTATAGAATTCCTCATCTCCCTAAATTTAAGCTGAAGAATTGTGGGAAAAGAGGGAGTGGGCGAGGGGCAAACGTATTTCTGGTAACTTTTTCTTTACCATAGATCATTGGTTACCACTTGTCCGTCAAGTATCTAATCGAGTCTACTATACTTGGGGAAATTCGAAATTTTTTTCGAATATTCGAATATCGAATATATTCGAAAATTGAAAATTTCGAATATTCGAATATCGAATAACATTCGAAAATCGAAATTCTCGAATATTCGACTATCGAATATTATTCGAAAATCGAAAATTTCGAATATTCGACTTTCGAATATTATTCGAAAATCGGAAATTTCGAATATTCGACTATCGAATATTATTCGAAAATGAAAATTTCGAATCGAATAATATTCGAATATCGAATATCATTCGTTATTCGAATTTCGAATATCATTCGGTCCTCGAATGTTATTTGATTTTCGAATATCATTCGATTTTCGAATACTGATCGAGTAATTTACATCATTGAGACTGCCTACAAAAGTATAAAACATCTAAGAATAAATTGTTTCATCCAAATGTTAAGAATGGTCACTTTCTTATGTTACAATTTACGATGGAAAAACGGTTTAGTCGTGACGTGAAGAGACTTAGGAACCCAAAAGCTATTCCTGGTGACGGTTATGAAGAGATTTTTCGTACTTCAAAGAAGATTATATACCCTCACTGAGAGTTGCGATTGGATATACAGCGGTCCCAAGAGTATGTAGATCTGTAAACTGACATCAACTTAGAGTATGAGGCGACTTATCAATCGCTTTTCATTGTTATCAAGTTACCTTAAAATTGAAGCGGGTTTTGAAACATCAAGAGCCATTTCCGCAAAAAAAAGAATCAAAAGGGCCGAAGGTCTTGCATTAGACTTTTAAAGACACCCGCTTTATGTAGAATTTGCACTCAACCGTAATGCTTTTTCCAAAACTCACTCCAGGTATACCGTAACATGTGTTTTGCAATGCCTCTCAAAAATGTGATTGCCATTTGAAAAGCTTAAAACTCGTGCGTAGTAAAATCAGCATACGTAAAAACACTGCTGCACAGATTTTGGACCTTTTTTGGGGACAATTTTTTTGGATGTCTTATTTTGCAGTTGGTCTATATGCTGGAATTTCCTACTGTGATAACACACAATAAGAAAAACATGGGTGATTCGCTTTCTGCTGTATTTATAAGCTGAAGCCATTCCTACTGGATGTTACCCACAAATTGGCAAAAGACTTTGAGAGGTATTAGCGATCAAACGGTGTGTAGATACTTTTAAGACACCCCGTATACGCTTTGCAAATCGAATTTTCGAATACTAGATGCTTATCGAATTTTCGAATAGTCAATTCTTATCGAATTTCCGAATATTCGGTGTTCAACGAATATTCGAATATTTGATGGACATCGAATGATCGAATGAATGACCATCGAATATTCGACTACCGAATAATATTCGAAAGTTAAGATTTTCGAATATTCGACTTTCGAATAATATTCGAAAATGAAGATTTTCGAATATTCGACTATCGAATATATTCGAAATCTGAAAATTTCGAATGTTCGACTTTCGAATTTTATTCGAAATCTCAGATTTTCGAATATTCGACTTTTCGAATCATTCGCATTCGAATGATTTATTCGAATGATCGAATAATTATTCGATTCGGTCCCAAGTATAGAGTCTACTCCAACCCTCTCAGCACACCACTAATGTGGAATTGCTCTAATAGCATCTTAGCGTCAGATGTGTTGACTATAGGATTACCAGCGCTCGGATTCCTGCACATCCCCTTGAATCAGGCATAAATTGCAACATTAACGTCCAACATGTGCAGTTAAGCGCTATGAGACCATATGGGGGGCTTTTTCTCGCTTAGCAAAAAGTTTTTTCTTCACGACGCATGTTGTTATTCGTGTGAATGTGTGCCATGAATGTTTCATAGCGGCATAAAGAGCTTTTCGGACACATTGTTTTTTGTTTATGGAATACATATTTTTTGCTGAGGTTTTTAGGCCTTTTTTCGAGACAATCAATATATTTTCTAGGAATCGGCCTCCTCTGGCTATTTTGCTTCCATCAGTCATGGAGTCGATATTCATCAGCAGCTGTGCATCCAACTGAAAAACTTGCTTTCATACTTTCTCACGATTTTCCTGGAATCACCGTAACGGCCATCGTCGTAGTGGCAACAACCAGTGAGTTTTCCCTATTCTGAATAATTTCTGATCCATCTTCAAGAAACTAGAATGAAAGAGATTGAGGTGGAAAGAGATAAAAATGCATAGGTTAGTATTAAGGCTATGATTTATTCTCATAAGGAGAGGTTTACTATTATTATTACTCTTGACGCAACTCGTCAACGTTTAGCTAAAAAAGGTTGGGAACCCTACAATTTTGACATTGAGAATTTCTACTCCGGAAGGTTTGACGACCAATAGCGAATGACGCAAGAAGTAAGGGGGCGGAGTGTGAAAAGAGGGCTGTCAAAGAGTAAGTCTTTACAGCAATTTAAATGAAGCCATTATAAGCGTTTCATGAACTAAATGTTGTCGTTTCATAAACTAAATGAAAAATCTCCTTGTTCTCCTCAAAAGATTTTTTTCTCATGTCCAAATTACGTGGAGGGTTGTGAATTCCTATCGATATACCTACCAGCGGGGATCCGATCCCCCCCATGGGTCGCAAAATCTTTGAAAGTTAGTTACATGGTTTATAGAAATGTGCAAGTGACTTGTTTTTACGTGTAAATAATTGATTATTTTTTGTAAATTTTTCAAAAATTCAAATGAGCCCAGAAAATTTTTTTCGCCCCTTCTTCAAATTCTTGTCGCCCCCCCCCCCTCTCCCTCCCCTGACGCGAAGGGGCCGCCACTGACATAAATGTCGCACATGAAGAATCCAAACTCTGAATTTTTTTTGGCATTTTCCGAATTGTTTCTGGCAAATTTCCAGATTCCTTTGTCAAAGAGCTTAGAGCTCCGGACTGTTTTCGCATTACCAGAATTTTCCTCCGTTTTCTTTTTTTTCAAAGCACTTATGCATGCTAGGTAAAGAGGAGTTGAGTGTGTTATGAATATTTTAAAAATCTAAAATCCGTCGGAACATCAATAATAATGAAAAGTCATTAGATTAATTAGTTAACTTTATAAAGTTTCATAATTAACAAATAGTATACATGATTCTAAGTCTTCCTTGCTCGAGTGAGGAGTTCCGGGGAAGACCTAGAACTCCTTATAAACTCTGTCTAAGGGAAGAAACGAAACGGAATAGTACATAATAAAGTTCAGTTTCCTCACAGAAAATTCTGAGATATCTTTACTTGTAATTATAATTACGCTTTTAAAACGTTCTTATTCCAATTGTGTTCAATACTTATCACTCAATCTCCTTTGAATTATTGCGAAAGGAGAAATTTTTACTAACTGCTTCAATATCTCTCCAGAATATTTACATACTTTATAAAGGTTCAAATACCTGATTTTTGAGTACATTTGGCAATGAAAGTACCATTGGGGTCAACATCAGCTTAAAATGGTGATAATCCTATAACGTATGCATATCACAAAAGCAGTCGACGTTCCGATAGCAGCTTAGTCGAGTTTTCATGGAAATTCTTTTGCGATGATTGTGTGTCAAAAACATCGCATCATTTGAATATTATGAAAGACATGAAGCGTGTGAAGAGCCGTACTTTTGCTGAATAAATTTTTATCTCTAAAAACATTTCATTTCTTGATTTTCTACCATGTTGCTTATTAGATTAATTTAATTAGATTAGATTAATTTTTTTTTGCTCGAATCAAATTATCCATCGAACATTTCTCCTGTGCAATTTTCAATTTTACAGAAAATAACTCAACATAATAGCATTTATCATCAGAACTAATTTCCGCTCTCATCATCACTTTTCTCAAGAGATTTTTTGAAAAATGTTGCCAATTCATTTCCGTTGCTTAGGGTGTTTCTGATGCGTCATTGCAAAATGGTTGAAGTCATTTTTCGTTTCACACCATTCAGTGCCTAAAAAGGACAAGAAAATGATTTTAGGGTAATTTCTTCGACTATGAAAATCTTTAGGAGTTTATGTTGGAGTGACTGTTAGGTCGTCCCGAAATCATTTTCGCTTTTTTGTCGTAAGAGATCTTGGTGAAATTAGATTCAGTTTTTCATATTCTTCCAAGTGATTCTCTTTACATAGAAATCACCGAAAGCTACGACCCAGAGTTTTTGACATGGTCAAGTTTCTCTACTTTTCTAAAATTTCGTAATGCTTCCCCAGAAAAGGTCAGTAACGGTAGATAGGGCAACCTTTACAGGATACAAAATAATTTTCTATCTAATAGCTTGCTATGAAAATTTTGAGAAGTAGTTTTGTATCAAATTCTATATTTGAAACCTCTCAAAACAATAATCGGCGATCAAGTCGGGTGTCGTTCGACGCAGCATTTTCTCTTCCTTCTAACAAGTGTTTTTTGTTTCTGATTCGTGACTTATCCGGGGATTCAAATCACCATAATTCTGTTTTTGATCGGGCTCCAGGCTGTACCCGTAAATGTCAAACTATTTTGAATCCGTGAACGCTCAGCTTAATCCACTCTTGAAAGTTCACGAAAAATTTACTGGTATGTGAGGCTTTTATTTTGAAATGGGCAAGCTAATTCGGTGGTTTCGATGAAATCTACTAACCAAAAAATTAGGCAATCTATGGGTGAAAGAAAAAAATTTGTTGTGTATCCCAAAAGTATGCTCTACCCATCGGTTACTTGCACTTTTTTGCGAGTTTAGTTTGAAAATCACAAAAATAGCGGAATTTGGCCATGGCAAACAAAAACCATGGGTTGTGATTTTTGGTAATTTTCTGAGAGCTCAGTTGTTAACCTGAGACATGAAGATGACCATTTGAAAATGGAGAAAAGCTTCGAATGCTATCAATACCTCATATAAATGTTTGTTCCGCGGAAAGTGGGGCTCGTGCAAAAAAAAGCGAAAATATTTTGGCACGACCTATTAAATAATTTTTGCCACGGTTGAAGTTATATGTAAACGCAAAGGTTTCTGGAGTAAATTTTACACCACCTTTCCACTTCTCGTACAGAAAATTCTTACTAAACTTGCTATAAATTAGAAAAATTCTTTTATGCATTCTCAAGCAAGGAACTTTGAACACTACCCCAAACAAAAAGTGCTGAAGAAAACTATGAAAAATTTTTGAAGTTTTTTGTGGAGAAAACTAGTTATGATAAATGATGTCATCATGCGCATCATGTGTTTCGTCAAGCCCACACTTTTTGACTTTGCGGCTCATTTTTCCAGTTTCTACAATTTACCGGCAGAAATGTCACAATGACACAAATCTGACTTTTTGTAGGGAGGGTCGCAATTATGCTGCAATATAAATTTTTCGCCCGTTCTAGCTATGCATACGCTTTGATTTTTGACTTTTTCTAGCTTTTCTTCTGCTGACTTTTTTGGTATCTGTGAGTCATGAGGACATCACAACAAGTAGGGAATGGCTTCTTTATACCCGGAAGACCGGAGATGTTCCGTATATGCTCTGCTGACGTATATGGAGTTCAAATGTGGTTTCTTTGCTTGGAAGCCATATAGCCAAGGATCGGCATTTGATATACGTCACCAGCTATTAATGAATGGGAACCCATATATGAACAAAAGCAGTCATCCACTGTATGTTAAACTCACACAGAAAACAGACGCTTAAAAGTTTTTTCATCATTAATTTAAAAAATTTATGTCATCATGTTCTTTTTTCACTTTTAAAGTAATCGGTAGGGTTTTTTCTTCATCAGAAAAAATTTCCTTTACACTTGTCTGATACATCATTATGTTCTATTTTTGTTTCATTTCTTCTTTACTCATGCTCTAAATAAATGGTTTTGTATAGGACTTTTTTTGCATTTTCCTGCATTTTTTCTTGCTAGCAATTTCTCGGATCGGCATAGCCTTCAATTTTTATTCGATGTAGCAATAGCAGGGCAAACAATTTTCTCACGCGGTTTTTTAGTCTGCATCAAAACTTTCTTTCTCTTTCCACAATTTTTTTTTGAAAATTAATACCATGTATTCAGTGCTTGGAGCGGCTGTAGCTCCTCATCGTCACATGGAATCGACGCTTGTGGCAATGTCTGCTTCTGTAGCTATAATGTTCTTTTTCCTTATTATGTGAGTTTGTTTCGCTTCCGAATGACAAAATTTGGCTAAACATTACAATTAGTCATTATTTATCTTTTTACTTTCATATTTTGCTCTTGAGGTTCGTCGCTGTATTCATCTACATAGGAGGCCGTCGTGAAGCAAAAGGAGTGAAATGGTATCAGCTGTTCACCACTGGAGACACTCATTTTACAGGTAAGCGTGTCCCTATTCAACAGAAATATCAAAGTGTAAAGAACAATGAATCTAAACTGTCTCCTGACTAGTCTAAATACGGCAAATTTCTCTTGTACCTCTGAATCAAGAGCTCGTTTGCTTTATATGAATTCTGAAATAAAATGTTGAATTCAATGATAAAAATGTGATATTTTGAATGTGTTTTTTCTCCAAGTAATACGCTTGTGACAGTTGAGAAATAAAAGAATTGCGGCAAACTTCTGTCACGACGTATCTATCGTGACAAAACCATCAAAGTGCTATAACCTTGAAGTTAGTTATATTAATACGTTCTCAAAATTTCTTTGTTCCTTCGTTGTTTCGATTTCGGCATAGGTTGTGGTGTCCAAACGGATCTGTTAGAAATTCTTTCTACGTTTGATAAGAGGCCTTGATTACTGCCTTACCCAAGCAGCGGCTAATGCAAAAAAAGTCTTGTCGAGATCGAATTCAAACGCTCGCTCGGTAACGTAATAGAGAGCGCTGATTGGTCCGTTTGAAAAGGTACGATATTGGTTGAGCCCGCCCTGAGTTTCTCGTTATTTATCGATTTATTGATCGGTCATGAATAAATCATGTCAGCTGTAGCTTGAGCAATTTTTTTTATGAAGTTCACCCTCCCAACTGTATTCCATCTATATCTCAGGTAACCAAATTTATCTTATCGCTCCATACAATGGCCCTCTTTCAAATCATGAAGCTGAATCTGGAACGTAATAATGAAAAATGGTTAAAAATTTTTTATTGGTTAATAATTACAAAATTCCGTTTCGTTTCTAACCCTGAGTTTACGGACTTTTTTCCGAGACTCCTCCATAGGCAAGCAAGGTGTGTAAAACTTATTTAATGATTACTTAAAAAGGAGTTTTTTAGGAATAGAATGTATATAGTTAGTGAATTGTTGAAAGTTGAAGGATCTTGGAAAACAAGTAAATAAAAAGCATGCTTAACCTTTCCAATTTAAAGGGGTCATACCACATTATAGACAACTATCACATCAACACATACCCTTTGATTCAACTGGCTTGGCTACTGGAAGGCGGGGCTTCGTGACCTAGTGAAGGCTAGGTAATGACCAGAGAGCAGGCTCGCGTGAGAGACGCAGACTGCGTCGCGGGCTCGAGTGGCCTCGATTAGGTCACAAAGCCCAGCATTCCAGCCGCCAAGCTGTTGAAAAGGTTAATTATATTACTCATCACCCTGGTATACTTTTTTATTTCAGCACCAAATCTAAGTGATTTCGACGCCTCATCGCTTTTTTCGCTTCACGATCGCCTTCTCGACACCCGACCAAGCATCGCTCGGGCGCTTGGCGATCGCTTGATAGCGCGTCATGCTCGCTATCCTATTGTGATTTTCTGTACTATAGTTCTAATATTTGCCATATGGGGATGTGCTAACGTTAGGTAACTATCTACAGCTATATTTTACAACATCTTCTACTTCTGAACAAATTTGCTGCAAAATCCTGTATTATTTCAGGGTTGATATGCGAGAAGAATATTTCTTGCCAATCGGTGCTCCTGCTCGAGCTTTTCTTAAGGATTATCGCGAAATGTTCGGAAAAACGACGCAGTTTTTAGAGGTTTATGTTTATAAGTGTTTTCAATTACAAAAAGACAGCAATTTGACCTAGGGTACCCATGGCAGAGCACGATGAAAATTTTTGTCCGACTAATAGATTCATTCAAATTTCGAGCATAAACTTTTTTTATGGGTCTGAAAAATCAAAAAAGACAGAACTTTGGGCAAAATTTTGTAAGAGTTTATGTAAACAGATACTGCTACATATCTCCTCACAGGCGTATTCAGCTTTCTTTCTAATTTCAAATGCATTATTTTAGATAGTCATAGACGACCCTGTAGAGTATGAGGAGCCAACCATACGCGATTCTATTATCGAAATAATGGATGCTGCAGTTGTATGTTCAAATGACATTTTTTAGCATATTTATGCCAAATCAACAATATTCCAGAGCTCCGGATATGCTTCCCGAACCGTCAGCTGGCTAGTCGAGTTTGCAAAATTTGAGAAAAACACCATTTACGATATCAATGCGGTAAGTAATCGCATTAACTCTACTAACACTATGAACGATGAATCACAGCATAGAGTTTGGAGGAAGTTATTACAGTAACCACATCTTTTTAGGACACATTCGTTCCAGTAGTGAATCTAGTATTCTTACAAACTGATCCATATAAACGATTCGCGTCGGACATATCATTCGATCGTCATCAGACGCAGATTGTTCGTTCGAGAATGTATCTCGAGCTTACGCAAAAGGGCATCAATGAAAGGTGAGCTAATTTTTTGGAAAAGTGTAAGAAGCGAGACGCAAATTTGGGGGCGGAGTCAAGCCGTAATTGCGGCGCGGTTGCATTGCTTATTGCTTCTCAGGTAAAGAGAACGTTACTTCTTTTGGGTTAATCATAAGAACCGCAGAGGTTTTTTATGTCATTTACGTACTCATGAGGCAGGGGTCAAGATTTTACGACCTATGGACAAGTAGCTGTTCGGTTCTTGCTGTTAGTGTGCAATCACACCACATGCATGAAAATGAGTGACTAATGATAGACTTACTGTAAGTTTTTTAGAGCTTCCTTGGCACAACTGCTCCTTTCCAAATCTCGTGCCGTTCATCTACCAATGTCCATACGTGCACCATTCACCATGTCGCTGAAACATGACATCTCGGTAAGGCTTCAATAAGATCCTTCAGAAATCCTCCTTTTTCTCTAAAAATACGTTTCTCCATTCTGGTCGCCAAGATGATAAGGTCCAGATAGTTGGCGTTTGCTTTGCAGGTGATTTCATCCGGTATCTTCGTTTTTGGCGTCTCATTGGTCTGCTTACTTGTGTTTTCGCTATTCTTCCTTGGACAACCTGCTCTCACCTTTGTTCTTCTTTTCACATCCGTTGCAGGTAAGCTAGTTTCTAAAGTTTTCATTGCCTTAATTTGTTTTTCTACTTGTTTTTGGCAAATTCATCTGTTTAGTGTTGACCGAAACCGTGGGTTATGTTACCCATTGGGGAGTACCAATGAATGCTATCACAGTAACAATGGCATTATCAGGTAAAAAAATCGAGACTTTACTTTTCAGTCAATCAATAGTTAACCTGAGTTATTGAATTTATTCATCCCATTAAATCAGTGGACTAACCAATATCGAAATGATCTAGATGTCAAAACTCAATATTTTCCCATTTTCAGCCAATATGCTTGCTTCTGTGATTGTGATGGCATTTTGCTACAGCTACTCGGTGTCTGGGAAGCAACAAATGAGAGCTGGTGTTAGGATACAGTATACCTTCCAGGTAATTATTGTATCCTTATAGTTCGTGATATTCAATTAAATCTCTGAGAATTCGGAAAAGCTCGGAGCACGGATTTGCTTTTTTCAGAATTTTCGAAGCATTTTTGTCTCAGAAATTGACATATCGATTTTCTCAGCACAGTTTCAATATAGTTTTCTAGCTCGTATTTTAGGCCACATTTCTTCCGGTCGTGTTCGCTTGCCTTGTTCCGGTGATCACCTACCTCCCACTATTTGCCGTTGATGCTCCTATCATTATTCATATTTGGAAAATTCTTCTCGTCAACTCGGCTGCCACACTTATACATTATCTTTTCTTCATACCGAAGTAGGTTTTGATCTCCGACTCTATGATTGGTCGATGTGGATAGCCAATCACAACTCTGCTGCCTCAACTCATTTTCCAGCCTATGTTTGCTATTCTCCATCCATATGCCTGCTTTTACTTCTGTAAATTGTACTGACTGCTGTTGTGATATGGAAGACGATAGCTCCATCTATTACATTCCAACAACTGCTCGAGCGGTCCACCCAGAAGGGTTAGTACAGTATACTTACCGTAATCCATTGCATCCAAGTTCTCGCTTTAGCATTTATCAACATACTTCTTATACCTATTCCGTACCCAAGTCAATGGTTAATGGCGGACCGCCCAATTATCTTGCTATTAGTAAGATCTGTACGGTAGAATCAATCGATATATTGATTTATTATTCCAGCAGGTCCACCACTGGAATCGAATTATGCGGGTGATTATGTGAGAGCAAATGTTGAGAGGACAAGGACCAGACGAGCAAGGAGAATAAGTGAAGTGAGCATCACCAAACAATAGTAACCGGTTACTGTAGGGTTACGGTAGCTGTTTAGGGGTCCGTGCCGCATTCTGAGGTAGCTACTCCTAGAGCCAATCGAACATCAAGGAAAAAGTCCAAAGATGATTCTATTTATGAGCCACCGCCAAGCCCGGTAAGATGTGATTTTCAATTTGCCAAAATTTTTATCTAAAATACTTGTTTATAGAGAGCTTCCTCTCGGGATTCATCTCCACAACGACAGTCGCGACAGTCGCATGGGCCATTCTTCCAAGATCCATCAATCAATATGCATCAACAACGTTGGCGACCATTTGCTCATCCGCAACCGTACATATTCTACCCGCCTCCAAATGGTTACCGACGGTAGGTCATGCGAGGAAATCGGTTTTAGCAGGATAATTTTTATATAGCATATTTTGATTCTTTGCTCAGCATAATCTGTGATTTTTCGTGGTCATGCCTTGAATGTTATCGATTTATTGATCGTCTTTGCACCAGATAAAGTATTACTCTACAGTAATTGTTTAGTTTGTTCTAAGCTACCATATGCATCTCATGACTGTGATTTAAACATGAAAAAAAACCAATTCTCAATTTTTAACGTTGTTGAGAAGTGATTATTGTCCGTATGGTGCTTTCATGCTTAATTCTTTCATCGTTCGACTATTTAGTCGAAGCATTTAATCATATCCTCTCAAGTTCCTCATTCCATTTGTTTTGTTGTGATGTTTAAATTATCAATAAATATTACAAATCTGCTATGAAACATGGCCCTATCAGTGGCAAACCGAGGGGAGGGGCGGGGGGGGGGGGGAAGAATGGGTCGCGTAATTTTTGAAATTTCATTTGCATGGGTTAAAAAATTGCAAGTGACTTATTCTCGTAAATAACTCAGATAACTTTTAGAATTTTTCTAAAAATTTGAATCAGCCCAAAAATTTTTTTCGGTGCATGCCCCTTTTTTCTAGATTTTGGGAGTTATGGGTACGCAAAACTTTTGAGAAGCACCCCAAAAATTTTCTCGAAGTGCACGGCTGACGCAACACACTTTCATATAAAAAATTTTGAGCGCCCCTTCCCCAGGACGGAAATTCGAAGTACGGTGTGGATTGGAGATTACTTTTGTTCTCGGCCACAAAGGTTTCATGTGAACAGCTCATGAGACCAACACGTTCCATATGCTGTACACAAACGCGATCGCATCTGTACGATAATCTCGTACAATTACTTGCAGTGATGAAATGACAGCCTCAGAATTTTGAGAGTGAATAATATGAGCTTGAAGTGCATTTATTATGCCTAACGCCTCAGTCAATTGCGAATTCCTTTCAAATAAAACAAGAACTAGTTTTCTCATATAAAAAAACTGTCAATTGTTGCTTTTTTGTTTCTTCTCCAATAAAGACTTCCAATCAGCGCTTTGCAAAACCGCAACTGTACAGTAATCAATTTTTTTCTTTAAGTTTTACAAACAGTAAGCTGCTATTTTCATGAATCTATTATGTTGTCCCATAATTATTTACCGTTTTCTTCGACAGTCGTTTTTTTGTATCTTTCCTCCAATTGATGCGGCTTGAGTAAGATCATTCGATAGGGCAAAGCAAGCTCTATAAGACGGTTACCAAGAGTCTGCACAAATCGTAATCCACATAATGTTTTGAGCTGAAATATGATAGCAGTCAAAAACGAATTTTACTGTCAAAAATCATATCTCCGCCCCAAAAAATCTAGAAAATTCCTTATTCAAGCATATGCTTGACACATCGAACATTCAAATGTACCATTTTCGTATTTTTTCCATGGCTAGAAATAGAGAAAAAATTAAATGGAGTAAAATGGCAAACTCCGCCCCTAGAAGTCCTGAGCTCCTCCACACACGTGATCATATAGTTCATACATACAGAAGTACGACCATGTATTTGAAAATTTTGAAGGTGCCCCAGTCCTCCAGAAATGCTGATGTCTAAGGTAAAGACGGTAATTAATTATGGGAGAACTTAATAGTAATACATTATTGTGAGCCGCAGATGGCCACAATAGCAACATAGCCTGAATCTTTATTTTCAGTCTTACTTAAAGGGCCTAGCAAACTTTACCAAAAACATGCTAGTATCCTCCCAGGTGTCTTCAGTTGATTGCCACATAATGAATAATGCTCTTCTATGATACTCCAAAATAAGGAAACCTAGGCTTGGCTTCTATCGTGGCCATCCGGACGGGAATAACCGCTTGTGAAAAGCGAAACAGCATACATTTTTTCAGTGTATCTCTGATGTACCTGAGCACCATCGGCGTACCCAGGATTTCTGTTCGGAGGGAGGGGGAGGGCGACAAAATTTTTTTTCGGATGGAGGTGCGTCGCCCACGCACTCCGAAAATTTTTTTGGGATGCTTCCCAAAATTTTTTCGGGCCCCTGACACCAAAATTTCAAAAAATGGGCCTCCGAAAGAAATTTTCTACAAGGCTGATTTGAATTTTTGAAAATTTTTCAAATTATTTCAAACATACAGGTAAAAACAAGTCCTCTGCACATTTTCATAAAACATTTAAGTAACTTTCAAAAATTTCGCGACCCATTCTCGGGGGAAGGGGGGGGGGTACGTCACTGCTGAGCACATATTTGTTGTGATCCCAGGAATTGTCGGCAGATGCTGTTGGACTGACGGCGCGCCGCAAGTTTCTGTGGAGGAGTATTTTCCGTACCAGGTGGTTGCGTAGAGACAGAAAATATTAAGGAAGTTGTGGTGAAGTTCATAGCTTCCGTTGTTGTTGAAGCGTCTTTCGCTTTCTTTCTTATGATTGGTACAAACGTCGTTGTAGCGAGTACAATTGATGTCAGTACCGATTCCATTACTGGCAAGACCGAATTCCCCATCGGTACTGTCCAATCCACAGAGATGAATCTGGTTGTTAGCGTTAAGACTCCGGTTGAGAGGTTAGTTAGGCTCTTCAAAATATGTCATAGACTGTAATGTGCAATGGTGTGTGATAATAAAGGTGTGTTTCTATGCTATTTCGACGAGGAAATGGAGGAGGTGACACTTGGTGTTGTCATCGTTGCATACGAAATAATTGGTATAAGGGCATGATGATGTCTTTCCGGCATTATTGTCTGCAAAGACGTGGTTACTCTTGGGCTCGGCGTTGTTCGTGTTGCGATCGGTGAAACTTTTAAGGCGATGTGGTCGTGGCAGCGGGTAAACTTGCTATCGAAAGGATTCTTATCCCCGCTGGCATAGTGACCTTAAAATAAGGGATTTCAGACTTCTATTCTGGGTCCTTAGGTGCTTTCATATTGTACGCGAATTTCCCAAATCCTCTTTCCACATAGTCGAAAAATTGGGAAACACCGATTTCAAGATCTCTTCAAATGTTAATTACTGCGTAATTTGGTGGTGTCGTTTTCTCCGATGCCGCAGATAGGTGCAGTTGTTTCATCCTATTCGCCGTATCTTACAGTGCGTAACACCAAATGCCGTGGATCATCATCCGTTTATAATATCGTGTTGTCTGTGCGAAATCGCTGTTAGAGATGTTCCATCGTTGTATTTCGAAAAGAATCTTGTTCCACGTTATATGGTGCGTACTAAATGCTGGAATTCTCCTCAGTTGTTTGGTGCCAAACAATCGTTTGATCAAAAGTACAGGCACGGCACGATTTTGAGAGGAAAACTACTCCAAATTTAATCCGTAAATTGGCGTATGGCACATTTTGCTCTTCTTCCATGGTGAGCAACGCGTAGAACATTAATCCGAATCCCGAGGGCTTGAGGGACGTGGGGAAAGGTGACAATGTGATTTGATGTTGTGAGGTAACCGGTGTTAAACAGACAATGCTTCGTGAGTTGTTTATGGGAAAGGTAATCTCCGGAAAACTGAAAGACGAGACGTCCAGACATCCCGAGAATAAAAATTCTGTTTTCAGAGCACGGCAAAACTCGATCTTAAAGCTGGAGGTAATCTGTCCCAAATGGTAAACTCTAGCAGCATTCTATTTAAAGGCAGTGTCCAGGCAAATCTGGGCATATGGGTTTTTTGCCTGAAAACTGTCGAAGAGGCTCTAGCTAAGGCACTGCCCAAACCGCAGCGCAAATAATTCATTCACGGCTGAGAAATCCATCCACAAACACTTGCTGCTGCGCCGTGACCGTGACACTTAGGTTTGGTCCCAGCGCGAACGTAGTGTTAAAGTGAGCGAAGTCGTTTTTGGGTCACAGTCACGTCGCAGGCGCGGGGTTTTCGGGGACGGATTTCTCAGCCGTGAATGAACAATTTGCGCTGCCCCTTGGGCAGTGTCTTAGTTAGGACCCCTCAACAAATTCCAGGCAAAAGAACATGCACCGGATTTGCCTGGACACTGCCTTTAACTCATTAACGACCGCTTGACACACCATGTTTGTCAAGCAATGACTACCACCTGAGACCGCTTGACACACATGGTGTGTCAAGGCATGAACTCCGCTAAAATGACGATTACCTTAATACAAACTCATTCCAAAAGATTACTTTTGCTGTGGATTTGAATGACCTCTACCTTTTTTGCCAGCCTTGCAAAACTGCTGTATGTTTACTGAAGATGGCAGTATGCGTGATTTTATCTAAAAAACGCAGACTAGTCCTGAAAGCTCTTTCTCAAGAGGCAGACAAACAAAAATGTACGTTGTCGCCAATGTGTCAAAGCTGCTGGAAAGCTATAGCCTGAATAATATCGGAGTGCTAACAAGAATTCCTTGTCTCAACAGGCTGCTAGGTAAATTTATGCGAAAATAAGTTCACACAAAAAAAACGCGAGTACGCAAAGTGGTGTGAGCATTCGACTTACTACACAAAAACACAAATACAAACAAAAACATAAGTACAATTGCAAGAACAGACTGAAGCATTGATTCGGGTGGGGATGGCTGCAGCTGTTCGATTCTTCTCGTTCCTGCGTTCCCTGTTGGACTGACGTGGTGGCCGCAAGATGGCCTTCGGTAAGCATCCAAAGATCAGCCGTACCGTCTATATGCAGGAAAAGAGAAAGGCACGTTTGCCAGGAAGTCCAGGAGCGGTGCATTTGGCCATTACAATTGTTTACATTTTGAAAAAATGTGTTTTTTGCACATTGTGGGGCTGTGGTTCAGGAAAGTTTCCGAAGGGAATTCGATACTCCGTGGCCGTTCTGGGCATAATGGAATGAATGATGGTTTGGGATATACTCGCCGCAGCTACCGTTGAAAGCGGCGATTGCAGTGGTAAGAAGCGGTTGCAGAGATTGCTAATGTTGTCAGATCGATGAATCTCAGTGGACGACAGGATTACTCTTCTAGAGTAGTTGAGAGCCTGTATGTGAATGCAAAAAGCCGGAAAGCGTGCGTCTCCGGTAAAGAGACAACCATTAGTTTTCCTTGAACTGTTTTCCTCTACTGCGATAGTTGTTCGGATACAGAATGCATTTCATTTGTAACTAGATTGAAAAGATCACAAAGAAACTCGATGTTGACATCAACACTACTCACCATTCTGAAATTTTAAGTATTCGTTCAGTAGCGCTATTTTTGTGCAAAGCCGAAACCTCCATGTGAAGCTCTGGCTGTGGTTCCGTATGAGGACTAATTAAAAGGTAACGAGTATTCTACAAAATCATCTATTTGGACCCCAGGAGTGCGAGCCTTATCAAAACATCCCAATAACGATTTATTTTCCATCAAGGGAG